ATTTTAATTTTTATATAAAAATATAAATAAGCTCCACCTTCTTGAAAAAATAATAATAAATTTTGCCATACGTACTTACCATAGGTTCTTAAAATTAACAATCTTTTAAAATTATTGATATTATCCATGTGCATCCTTATCCTTTTTTTATGTTGGTTATCGTGAAGGTTTTTCGTTTAATGTTTTTACTAAAAAAAATTTGTGTGCTTTATCTTTTTTTAAGTTAAGGTATGCTTATGCTATTTTTAGTTTTTACCTTTTTTTTTTTTTTTTTTTGGAACAAGTTGTTAGAAGATGGGCTCGAAACTCATCCATGAAGAAAGGAGAATGTATCTTAAACTGACAGACTGCCAATTAACCCGAAGGGTCAAGTACTTTTACCTTACTTTTTGTAGAATTAGAAATTATAAGTAATTATATTAGATATAATTACATAATTATAATCTATTAAGATAATTAAATTAATTTTGACTTAATAATCAAATTTTTTATTTTAAAATTATTGATATTATCCATATGCATCCTTATCTCTTTTTTATGTTGCTTATCGTAAGTGTTTTTTTTTTTTTTTCAATATTTTTACTAAAAAAATTTTATGTGCTTTATCTTTTTCAGTTAGGATGTGCTTATCCTATTTTGTTTTGACCGCAGCCAAGACTTTGTTTATTTTAGTGAGAATATTTGATGAGTTGATAATTTTGTGTATGATTTTATCTCTGGCCAAAATTTAGTATACGAGATAAAGATCCGAAAAGAGACGGAGCTTTTTTCACCGTGGCGGTCTCATTTTCAATCACGCTGACCAGAGGCTCCCTTCACAAATTGCAAGTTATCCAAACGCAGGAATGACCGGAATTCGTTGATTCTAAATTTCTAACTGTGATTTATGCAGGAAAGGATAATGCAGGTTGCCGCCGATTGCTACATTCATGTTTGCTTTGGCTCAAACGGTCTGTGTCCGCAATCCTATCTACTAATCCTTTCGTCCATTTAGAATTTTTATGCCCAAATCTTTACATTTTTGTTTGAAAATACCCTAATTCTTTGTTTATTTTCATTTATACCTTAACTCTCTCAGGCGTTAGAAAAAAGTCAAGGACATTCTTTGAAATTATCTTAAACATTTGGGGCATGAAATTATCCTTATTATCGCTTTTATTATGATTTTGGGAAAATTGATTTTGATCTTCTCATTCTTCAGATCACCCCAAAAAAAAAAAAAAAAAAGAGGAAAAAGAAAGAACTTGTGAACTTTCGCTGTGTGAAGATTTCGTTTCTCCGTTGAGCAAACAGTAAACAAAAACGTCAGGAGAAGAACCAAATGCTGCGATCCGATCCTTCATTTGGTAAGAATCGATTGCAATTATTATTATTATCTTTTTTCATCCTAAATGGATTGCAAAAAATTGTGAGCATTTCATTATCATATAAAATCACCGGTAAAATCTTTTTTTTTTTTTTTTTTTTGTTTTGACCCTCATCCAAGTCTTAGTTTGTTTTTAAGATAATGTGTTGATTAAATATGTGATAAGGCATAAAAACAATGGCACTATTGTCATGTGTGGTGGGGATTTGGAGTTTTCGGAGCTTTAATTCATAATGCATGCAATAGTGCTTTCTTGCACCGTGAAAGTCTATGGCAAAGGAAGAGTTAGCGAAAGGCTTTGATGACAATTTGGTTCGATATGGCTTTGGCGCAATTAGGTAATCTTTAATAATCAAGGAGAAAGTGTATTGGCGATTATAAATTAATTATGATTAGATTTTGGTTTTGGTCATTTGATTTATGTGTTTTTGGGTACTATTGATTTTTTCAGGTCTTTTCATCGTTATATTAGAAGTCTATGGCCAAGCAAGGACCGGAAAGGATTTCTGGCTCTCAGTTTTTTTTGTGCTTGTGTTTTTTGAGGTTCTGTAGTACTTTCAAGCTAAGTATTGTGATATGTATGAAGGTCAACTTTGTATGTATATGAGTTAGGATTTCTTTTTATTATACAGGCTATAAGATGTCTAAATGGAGTTGTGTGAGTAATGATGCACTTTGCCTTAGTAGTTGAACTAGAGTTATATAGCAATCACACAGAGATTGAAACGAGATTGCGGGGTGTGATATGTGGTATTTATTTTTATTGTAGGAACCTTGTAATAATAAGTTAAAGTTTCTTTGAATAAAATTTTTTATTTGTTGATAAAAAAATATTATTTGCAGTTCCATTATAAGACTAAATTATTATTAAATTTTCTTTGATAATAAAAATTTATCTTTTATATATTATTTTTATGATCACAGATATATTGTTATCTTTTTCTATTTAGATA